TTTTTTTTAATTCAGCTTGAAAAAATCAGTGCAGAACTCATTATAGCCCATGTAAAAAAATTGACTACGTAATCTGTTGCTGATCTTGAGAAAAATTTCAAAGTTCTCATAGATCTGAATTAGTAAATAGACGATCTTGCAAACTGGATCAGCATTGGTGATCCTAAAGCAGTTTGTGTGTGTGTCAAATTAACCATTGGTAGTTTCTCAGCAATCTGGAGATTTTAATATTGAATTAGGTTTTAAGGTGTGGTTAACGGTTAGTACAGATAGTCCTTGACTTAGGACCAACAATTTAACCTCAAATTTATATTGATAAGTGAGACATTTTTACCCCATTTTACAACCTTTCTTGCCACAGCTGAGTGAATCATTCCAGTTGTTAAGTTATTGGTTGCTATGTAAATCTGGCTTCCCCATTGACTTTGCTTTCAGAAGTTCGCAAAAGCTGATCATATGACCCCAGGACACTGCTACCATCATAAATATGAACCAGTTTCCAAGCATTCAAAATTTAATTGTGTGACCATGGGGATTCTGCAACGGTCAGAAGTGTGAAAAACCATCTTTACAAAATATCTTAATCAGTCATAAAGGTCATAAGTTATCTTTTCAGTGCTACTGTAATTTTAAACCGTCACTAAGCAAACTGTTGTAAATCAAGGACTACCTGTAATCTTCTAATTTGGAAGGTGAACTATGGAGGTGAACAACTGTTAGCAGAAGTCTAGACTATACGAAGACTAAAGAAAAGGTGGCTTCAGAACCATCAAAAGAGCTAATAGCTCATTTTTTCCTGCAAAAATGCCAAGTCTTATCTTGCATCCCTTGATCAACAAAAAATTCAGAACATGAGAAATAGGATTGGCTTACTTATATTGTGTATACAAAATGGTGTTTTGAAGGCCAATAATCTGGCAGAGAATAGCTAGGTTTAAAGGCAAGTCCTAAATTTCACTCCCAGCAACACAATGAAAAAAAGTTTTTTTTAAAGTATTCTAAGCTGTTCTCAGAAAAAAACAACCATGTCAAATGCTCCAATCATGTGGCTGAAAAGAGAGTAATGCTATTTAGGAAATAAACATTGAAGTTTTACTTCATGCTAAAAATCTCCACTCTTTAGTCCCCCAAGTGCCTTTTCAGAAGAGATGCGGAACTCAGTAGACTAAAGAAGTTACAATGAAGAATAAACCCCAAGATTCTGCTGATTGGTTTTTTCAACCCTGTGGTGAATAAATGACATTATACTTCCATCATCCACATTTGCAGAAAAGGGAGGTTTTTCATTTTGCTTTACAGATCTTAAGATATAAAATTTTACTCCTGTATCCCAGAGGTAGAAAAGATTGATTCAAAGTACTGTATTCTCATAACATGCAAAGCCAGTCGTTCCCAAGCTGTTTCACCCTAGATGTTTTAAACTACATTCCCAGCCAGCATGTATTAATACTTCCACAAAATCAAGGAAGGCTATGCCAAGTTATGTTCTGCTTTGTCAATTAATCTATAGTCAGTTGGGTTTATGCAGCATGAAAGACCACAGACAAGTGAATGATCTTTTATATTTGATTGATTGATTGATTGATTGATTTTATTTTATTATATTTATATGCTGCCCTTTTCCCCCCGAAGGGGACTCAGGGCGGCTCACAATTCAAATCAGGGAAGGGGAGTACAGACAAAAAATGAAAGACAAAACATAGCAATACATAATTTAAAAACACACAGCAGTCATACCATTCGAGACGGGGGCAACAGCTCTTTAGCCCCAGGCCTGTTTTAAGGGCTTTGCGGAAGGCCTGGAGGGTGGTGAGGGTTCAAATCCCCACGGGGAGTTCGTTCCAGAGGGTCGGAGCAGCCACAGAGAAGGCTCTCCTCCGGGTAGTCGCCAGTCGGCACTGGCCGGCGGATGGAATTCGGAGGAGGCCTAATCTGTGGGATCTAATCGGTCTAGTGGAGGTGATTGGCAGTAGGCAGTCTCTCAAGTACCCAGGTCCAATACCATGAAGGGCTTTATAAGTGACGACTAGCGCCTTGAAGCGTATCCGGAGACCAATAGGCAGCCAGTGCAGCTCGCGGAGGATAGGTGTTACGTGGGTGAACCGAGGTGCACCCACGATCGCTCGCGCGGCTGCATTCTGGACAAGCTGAAGTCTCCGAATGCTCTTCAAGGGCTGCCCCATGTAGAGCATGTTGCAGTAGTCCAGTTTAGAGGTCACAAGGGCACGAGTGACTGTTGTGAGGGCCTCCCGGTTCAGGTAGGGACGCAACTGGTACACCAGGTGAACCTGGGCAAATGCCCCCCTGGTCACAGCCGACAAATGGTGTTCAAAAGTCAGCTGTGGGTCCAGGAGGACTCCCAAATTGCGAACCCTGTCTGAGGGGCGTACTGTTTGACCCCCCAGCCTGAGAGATGGAAAACTTGGCCAATTAGTAGGAGGGAAACACACCAGCCACTCAGTCTTATCCGGATTGAGTACAAGCTTGTTGTACCTATATTCCACCCCCCATCAGAAAAGTTTCCCAATGTATTAATGGGTTGAATTGCATTGAATACAGAAATTTCAACCACACAAAAGGATTCCGAAGAATATCTGGAAATTCAGGTTCATCAGTTTTTAATTTATAAAATACTATTGTTTTCCATTGCTAGGTTTTCCTTGTTAAAAATCATCAGACCTCCCCATCTTTTAAGGTACTCTTTATAAATCAAAAGTCTGTTTTGGTGTATCAGCTGCCAGTGAAGGCTTTTATTAGACTATACAGTTATAGTATAGATGCCCTTAGCTAAATTTTTTCATTAACCAAAAACCATGTTCAGAAAACAAACTAATCTTAAAGCAAAATGAATTTATTTTTATAAACAGATTAAATTAAATAGAGTCTTGGCAACTGAAGTCGTAAAACAGACAAGTGTTTAAAGAAGAACAAAGCAAACCAAATCCTGGGCTTTCTTAATTAGATTCCTGTTAATCAACTCTACCTTTTTATTAAGAAGGTTAAGGTAGTATACCCACTTACTTCTCCTCACATCAATAACCCTGAAAGGTAAGTCGGGCTGAGCCTAAATGGCTGGCCAAGAATGGACTAAAACCTAGTTCTCCCCATTCATTGGCCCAGCAGTTTAATCATTATCCTACATTGACTATTATGAGTAATTGTTTCCTGTTATTGCTCTAAAGCATTCTTTTGCCTGTTATCTATATGGAAGTTTTCAGACATATTCTTTAAACGTCCTTTCCAAATAATACAAAGTTATATCCACTTAATAGAATTAATTTCTTTTGTTTGCTATATATAAGCAATATAATCTTTGATACCCCTAATATTGGAATGTATTTTAGTAGGTCAATATTGGGCACTTTTCTTTAAAACTACTTTCTCTTGTATAGTACCTTCCAACTAGTTGAGATTGATAGAAGTATAATTTAACATACCTAAAGGGAAGTATTCAAGATTCTTAATAATGTGGTTTTTAATTATGAAAGAAATCTTAAGATAGCAGGAATCTCAATGTCCAATGTCCACCTTTTCCACCTTGTTGGTGTAACATTGCTAATTCTAGCTGAAACAAATCCTGTGAATCTCCGTATGCAAGTTTGTGTGTGTTTGCGGGCATGTGTATATACATATGTCCATTATGCAGGCTAGGATAAAAAAGTATTTTATATTGAAGTAATTAATTACTGCTCATTAAAATAAACTGCATATAAGTGTGTCCAAATTTATAAAATTAATTAACTGATTCCATGTGCATATGGCTATCAATTTCTTTTGTATTTAAAGAGAGTCACTGCTCCCTGCATATAGACATATAAACATTTCCTGCCTTTGTTCAAGGAGAAATAGCAAAAGAAAAATATAACAGGAGGTGGAGAAAGTCAACTAGACAAATCAAACATTCAGCACTTCACAAGTAACTGCTTATCTTCAAGCAGAATCTGTACTTCAAAAGCATCCACATTTTGTAGCAACTCCATCTGCACTGCAGCCATCTGTATTTCCCTGCCTGTATTCATTTTCAGCAACAAATATAAAGAACCCCCACGCAACTTCCATTTACAAGTAAATATTTTAGAGGGGGGAGGAACTTACCATTCTAATCAAGTAACTTTAATATCCAACCATTTTTTTTCTGAGTGTTTTCTATTTCTTCATGAAGTTGTTTAAGCAGCATCCAGAGCTCTTTGTGAAGGTGCTTAACAGTTTTTGCTGAACAATATTGAATAAACTAAAATAAGACTTAGTGATATATTCTTCAAGTAACAAAGCTGAAGCTGAAAGGAGTTACCATTTGGTTGCAACTATAACTGGTGTTGAAGTTTCTCTAGCTGAGAAAAGCAAATCTGGGTGTCTTCTTTCTTTGAGGTAAGAAAATAAGCACTCAGAATATTCAAAGTTTTAAATTTCTGGATACCATTTAGAATTCAGTTTCAAAATGATGTTACACAAGTTAACTTCATTTAATTTTAACTTGGACTTTATGGCTGATTCTGTCATTCATTATTTTTTTCACATATTAGATTGCTTCCCCCTTTCTCAACATCTGAACAGTTCATTTCAAGGCTGCCCATTGCACCCTATTGTTAAGAACACAGTTATAGAGTAGTTCACAGTTATTCATGAAAGGGAGATCCCAAAATACCCATACAAACTAAGTGTCTTAGTATAGCCTTTATTGTCATTGTACAAAATAAATACAATGAAATTGGTCTTAAATTTAAACCTACATTAGCCATGCATATATCCCAATCTGTTTTGTCACATGCTTGGGCATTGAGGTGCAGCAGGCATGGATGTGAATGCGATGTGCTCCCTCATCCCCTTGTATGTTTCAATTTTATTAAGTAAGTGTGAATAACACTCGGATGTACGTTGATAAAAAGTTTAGCAAATATGTAGCATTGGGAAACAATACATAAATTCCTGCATGCTTGTTGAATGAGATTAAATCAGATATAATTATAATTATTGCTTTTGTTTTTTTATTTGCTTTTTAGAAATATGGCAAATTAACTACTTGTACTGGTTGCACAACTCAGTGCAGGTTTTTTGACATGACACAGTGCATAGGAACTAATGGACATATGGAGCCATACTGCTCAACCACATGCATGAACACACACAAATCAAAATATGCAAAATCACAAAGTAAGTGAAAGGGGTGAGGTGTCTCTCTCAACAGATAAAATATTGTTCCAAAATAGAGAAATTCTGTTTCACTTGTTTCTTCTATCTGGTTTTCTTGTGAGATGATATTGATGTCCACATTATATTTACATTATTGGAATATGACTCCTATGAGTTAAATAAAAAATTAATATAATTAAAACATGAAGTTTTAACATTTGAGCTCATGTTTTCCACCAGCTATAGATTTTTCAGACTGTTCTTAATGGTAACTCCGCTCTTGGTTTGAACGTATTTTAGTATTCTGATATTTAATATTACTGTACATTGACCAGAAATATCGGTTGTACATAAGGATGTGCTTTGCTAGAAACAAAACAGTTGCATGATTTAGGTAATTAATTTGTACTTTTTAATGTAGAGCTAACTTATACATTAATCCATACAGTGTTCCTTAACCAGGGGTGGAATTCAGATAATCTAACCGGTTTGCGACTGCCAACTTGACCATGGGCCAACTGGTTGTTAAATTATCCCCCCCCCACCTGCCCGCTATCAAAGTGGGTGCTGTGCTGCAATGGAGAAACAGACAAGGGAGCTGCTGACACGGGGGGAAGAGGAGCAGGGAGAAGAAAGAGAGAAAGTGGCCTTTTCCTTCCCTCGCACCAGCCACTCCGTTGTCTGTTTCTCCATTGCAGCACCCAGCATCCATTTTGATAGCAGGGTGGTTGGGCAATTTAACAACTGGTTCGGTTGAACCAGTGTGAACCGGCTGAATCCCACTAGTATCCTTAACCCTAAAAGAGGATAGTCTGATAGGTAGGTATGTAAATTAGGTATCCATATAAACAGTGTGAGTTTATAGAAAAACTCTTAAACTCTACAAAGTGTGTGTGTGTGTGTGTGTGTGTGTGTGTTTTGTATTTAAAATTAGTTAAATGTAACAGTGAAAAATGTACATTTATTGGAAAGTCTAGGCTACACATATCATTCCCACTGATTTTGGTCATCAAAAAACTTGTTCGTTAATTATAGTTTTTTCTATTGCCCTATCTAGGAAAGTATGCATAACTAGAAGTTGTTTTGTTTAAGCCTAAAAAGGCTGCTTGTGTAGGAATAAGTGATTGTTCAAGCCTCAGCCATTGCTGAACTTCTAATAAATGCTAGCTTGTCATTTACAATCTGGAAATTTGCATTTATTTATTTTTGTATACTACATTTTTCTTTTAGGTTTGGGAATTGTTTGCCAATTTTGTAAGCGAAACTCTTTACCTCAGTATCAAGCCACAATGCCTGATGGAATACTGTACAACTTTTGCAGTTCCAGTTGTGTAGCTAAATTTCAGGTTAGCTGTTGTGTTCAATCTCTTCTTCCCTGGATATGTATTATTATGTGCATATATCCTGTTAGGTATTCTTAGGAGGCTAATATTAGTGTGAAACCACTTTTTACTTAATTGCTACTCTTCACAAATAAAATTATTTGTGTTTATCACTTACCAATAAAGACCTTGTTAAAGCTTGGCTATTATCAGCATAGTGTATATATAAGAAAGTGATTTCCAAAATTCATGGGCTATCATTAGTGCTTTCTTCTTGAGTCTGTTTTAATTCTATTCTGCTTATTCTGAGAGGTATGTGGCTAATGTTTGACATTTTCATTCTCTTCCTTTTTTAAAAAAATAATAATAATTTAGCACATGGGTAATCCTATGAGTACTTGAATACTGTATATCCAGCTAATTTATAATTACTAGAGGATTTTCTGGTTTGGGAAGAAGTAAAAAATTAATTCCTTCCTTATGCCAGTGAAAAAGAAACTTTGATTTTTGAATTCCTTCTAGTGCTAAAATAGCAACATTAGCTTACTGACAAATCCTGTTCCTTTCAGGGATTACATTATACTAAACAGAACACTTAATTGGTTTTGTACATTGATTGTCAAATAGCCAATATTTTAAGATGATCACCTGCAAATATGCAATAAGATTGCCATGTATTTATACTGTGTAATATTTTATGTGCTGGAGTTCTGAAAGCCTTTCTGTATTAGATTTACACCTCGCCTTTTATTCAGCAGCTCAAGGCAATATCTACGGTAGGGGTGTCAAACTCAAGGCCCATGCCCCGGATCCAGCCCACAAAGTACTTAGATGTGGTCCGTGGGACTGCCCTGGAAACAGTGAAGGACCAGCAAAAACAGCTGGTCAGCGAAAACGGAGCTTGGGAGAGCCCTGTGTGGCCCTCCCAAACTCCGTTTTCGCTGCAGAGCACTTGGGCCACCATTGTCATCCCTACACGAGTGATTTCGAGCTAGCCATGCTCACCCTGGACACACCCATCCACCCCACCCCCCCAGGTCAAACACAACCCTGATGCAGCCCTCAATGAAATCAAGTTTGTCACCCCTGGTCTATAGTGTTCTCTCCTCCTATCTTTCTCCACAGTGACCAAGGTAGATAAGTTGGCCTATAGTCACCCAGGGATATTCCATGCTGCTGGAAGTTTAGAATTCGGCTGCCCCTGCCTCTAATTCAACACTTTAACCATTCTGCCATGTTGCATTACTCCTAGCATTATTATACATTACTTCAGTTGTAAAGTGGGGAAGAGCAAAAGGAAGGGTGGGGCTGGGGGAGGCAGAGTATGAATTCAATAATAGATAAAATGAATGTGTTTTGAGGATAGATAAAACTGCAGCTTCTTAAAGATTTACACTACTTTTTACTGAAAACTATACAGTGTGGGCTTATGTACAACTTCCAGGAGCATAAATCCAAGCATTCTTTTATTTGAGCATATAAATCATGATAGCTTTGTCTAGATCTGATATAAGCAAATTTAATTTTGACGTATTTTTGCCAATTTAGCTCTGTATAAATAAGGAAAATTCATTTATTATGAATTAGTAGAAATTAGTAAAAAATAATTGCTATTATGCATTAGAGAGATTCAGGCATCTTTTGTAAAAGAACCAGCAGATATTAAAACTGTTTAGTTTTGGCTAATTTTATTAGACTTTTTAATAGTTAAGGATGAAAGTGATTCTTTATTTCATCTCCATATTTGATTTAGATTTATTGCAACCAGCTTTAACCTGAACTTATATTCATAAATCACCCTTAAACTATTTAACATGAAAGTCTCATTAAGTGAAATTACAGATCCACTACATTTTTGCTGTTTGGGGGGGTGGGGGAATTATATTGGCAGACTGTATCTTGAAATAATTACAATAGTTTACCCTGAACTGCCCTTAAACCTGTAATCTATCATTTCTTTTCAACTAATGATGTTTTATCTCAACCATAAGCACCTTCTTTGGACAAACTTAGGAAAATAAGGCATGAAACAGTAGTGCTCTTAATTTTTAATTTTTTGACAGGTTAAGTGTCATTTTGGGCCTCACTTACTTCTATATTTCTAGCCTAAATTTCACTCTTATTCCTATAGACCTATGGTAGATTAATTTCTTATGTTCCCAGTAGTATACTGGAAATGAAATAATTCTAGTTTTGTTTTGTAACAGAATTGTTGGCTATTTTGATTACCATAGAAACTGGATATTGTGAATACAAACCACTGCATATGAAGTATTTGTACGAGATAATATTGTTTCAAATGCACATATGGAGAAATACAAATAGTCCTCAACCTACAACCATAAGTGGAACCCACACTTGTCATTAAGCAATGTGGTCTTTCAGTAAAAGATAAATGTTTATCTTTTTTTTAACCTTTTTTTTGCTGCAGTTAAGCAAATCTGGCTTCCTTCATTGGTTTTGCCAGAAACCCCCTGGGAATGTCACAGATAGTATTCATCTGACCTTGTAGCCATTGTAAATGCATGCCAAGTGCCCAAATTTTAACCCATGACTACAGGGACGTTGCAGTGGTCACAACAGTGAGGAGGTGTTGTAAGATACTTTTTTTCCAGTTTGTAACTTTGAACAATTGTTAAACAGTTGGTTATAAGTCAAGGGCTACCTGTAAGTCTCATTTGATACAAGTGGCCTGTAATAGTTAATTTTATATGGTGGAAAGGCAGGCAATCCTTTCAGTGAAAGATTATTACTCATCACAAATTGAAAATGCACGGGTAAAGTAAGATGGATGAGCACAATATTTGTTATTTTCAATATTTTAATGATAGTCTGCAATTTAGGAGTTCTTATAACCTCACAACTTCTGCCTGAAAAGTAAGTGACACTAGGGCCAGGAGAGGTCTTGCACAGTTACAGCTATTGTGCAACTATTGAAACCATTTCTGTCCTAGTCACCTCCTACTTGGACTAGTTTAACATTAGGAAACTACAGTTGGGACAAAAATAAGTAACTTAGGCAAGATTGGTAGCTTAGACATGGCTCTGATAGATTTGGAAGTCCCCCCCCCCTCTGTTTGAAGCATTGTTTGCAACCTGGGTTCATTTCTGGATGCCGTTTATAACCTCTATGGTTTTATATTGTTCCAGACTTGGTTATCTGAGGTAATATCTTCTGTATTTATGTATTCACCTAATCAGATCAAATGTGGTCAGCAGTGTTCCCTCTAAGGTGCGCAGCTGCGCGCCCGCGCATGTGACAAGAAAACGCCGCGCAGAAGTTTCCAACTGCCGCGCAGTTATTTTTAATGTCACAGCTCCGCCCTGACCCGGGAGGAGGGAGAATTTATTTCACTGACCTACCGCTTGGAGTCTGTCATTTGCCAGGTCCTATATAAATCCCCCCTCTCTATATTCCATCGCAGGCTGGCAAGTGACTCCGGAGTTGCATGGTTGCGTGGGTTACGTGTGTCCCTTTACAACAACTCATAGCCTCCGCCCCCCATTTCCCAAAGCAGCGGCCACCGCCACCACATTGGGGTCCCTTAGACGCCCTTGTTGTCTTGGTGACATC